ACGGTTTGTACCATAAAGCTGCTCACGCTCCTTTTTTTAACCTTTGCAGCCTGGGCCCCATACAGGAGGGCCAATGCTACCTCCTTATCAGCTGAACTTCTGGTAGGAAACAAGCTGCCTATAAATCACATCCAAAGCCGCATGTTGCACACGTGTTTAGGTGAGTTTAGGAGCGTCAAGCATTTGCGCGTTATTGGATTCCAAAATTGAATATTAAATATTAATTTATTCTGGCCATTGGAATGCATTAATGATTAAACATGCCTGTATGTGTCTAACCACATGTGCAATTTGTGGCTTTAAATGCATTTTTAAGTAGCTTTTCTTCTGCCAGGAGTTCTGGCATGCAGAGGAGCAAAGCAAACGCCTTGTGTTGCTTATTTAGTGATTTTTCTGCTCTTCAGCTCTTTTCCTGAATGCGCTTTTGTAATTTTTTTTTTTTCAGCCTGCGAATTCTCTTCTTCTAATTTGCATGTAAACACCCATGTGTGCATGGTCACAGACTAACATAGAGGTGCTTTTAAAAGCTGAAAAAAAAATGCAAAAGACTGTAAAAGCGGTGAAAGTGGTTGCAAACCCTTACATATACCCAGTGAAGTGACTGTTTGCTGCATTTGGATTGCCATTAGCAATGAATGGCACCATAAACATGGTGTGCATTTTGTGCATGTTTCATAAATGTGAATGCAGCTTATAGAAAATTATTTTCATTTCTGTCTCAGTCCCTGTTGCAGAGTTCCCCTCACTTTCTGTCTGATGAAACATTGTTAGCAGAACAGAATCTGAAGATAAATCTCTCTAATGGAGTTCTGGATAGCAATACAAACCTGAGAAGGATATTAATTCTTCCCAATCTATCTAAAACTAAGAAAAAACATGTTTGCTGGACATTCAAATATGGCTCACAACATATCACAAGCTGGAGAACAAGAAAGCCTCCGTTACCTAAGCATATCATGGTAGATTTATAATTTCACAAGAGCACATTTCCGTGAATCAGGGCCAGACCTAGGGCCCTTGGGCTATGGGCCTGTAGTCCTGCTATCCTGGTCTGTGTAACCGTTCAATCTTAATCATTCACAATAGCTTGCAAGCTTGTCAATACTATTAATCCAATTATGCCATGAAATAGCCTAACTGTATATTATTACTGGCTGTAACCTTTATGTGCTGAGAAGAGTGTTATGCTCTTTTCATTTCCAATCAGTTCCTTCTCCTATGTTTTTAGAATATACTGAAAAATTAAAATTTGAATCTGATGATATGTAGACAACACACATACATTTTCTCTCTTTGGATGCTTTGGACACAATATAAATCCAACTGAACCTTCAGTTTAAATCTGGTAAATAAAAACAAAAGTTGTGCAAAGTTTTAGTTAACTGTCATAAGAAAGCAGCAAAAGATTGAGTAGAAAAGCCCATCCCCTGTCAGCACACTGCCCCTTACTCTCTATGGTGAAGCAATGGTCTATCTGCACAGGTCCGAATCCTCCACTGTGAGTCAGAATTAAAACTCTGTAATCAGCAGGGAGCTTAGGCTTTGCTCATTGCAGAGCTATAGGTTTGCCTTAGTAGAGGGCATGTTGGACCCCTGCAGAGAGATCCTACAGAGAGAAAAGGTCCTACTTTGCACCTGCTGGCAGGGGACAGACTTTTCTACTTTGGCTGTGGCTGTTTTGTTCAGATTTTAAGTTCAGATGGCCTTTAAAATGGTCAAATGAAAGAGAGCATATAATAAAAATTATTCTCAGAGAAGAGACATATTTTAAAACAGAAAAGGGCTGATTCACTAAGAATTAAGAATCTTCACTCAAAATGTGGACAATATTCACTTCAGTTATCCAATCACGTGAACAGCATCTGCACATGGTTGAGTATCCAAAGTGAACAGGAGTTTGCTTTTCACACAATTGAATAACTGAACTGAATATTCACACAGTATGAAGAATAGTAGGATATAAGGGCGCCACACACCAACAGCTCCATATGTGTCAAATTAAGAAGAGCGGCCTCAGCCTCAGTTCCTTTTGAGACCATGACCACTGACGCATTTCGCCCTGCCCTTGGAGCTTAGTCATAGAGTCCTCTATGATTAAGGTCCTGGGGGGGGGGGGGGTAAATTGCAGCGCCCTCATATTATTCGGTATGCTTCCCGGATAAGCATTTCTGACGACATCACCCCTCCACGTATTGGATCGCCTGAGCATTATCCCCTGGCACTTACAGCTTCTGTCCAAGAAGGCTATAGCAGGTCGCAATGAATATGAAGAGTTGTGAAGATTCTCAACCCCTTTAGTAAATCATCACCTGTTTGTCAATCCCTCTGCTTGCAATTTAAAAAAAAATACTTTTTTCTTATTACAACTAAAACAACAATAGTGCAAAACCCAAAAGAAGTCACCAGACAAGAGGCAGAACTGAAATGTAGTAACTTCTTTAAGGTATGATAGCCCTGACTATTGCAAGTTCTTACTCAGTTATGCTATAAACTGAAAGATGGAATGTAATGTAAAAGTATTATATTGAAAATGTCAACCACTCAGCTCAGTTTGTACATAGCACAAGTAAGGTGTACATGGGCAGAGCAATCCACAGAGCAATTCAATACAAAATACATGTATGTAAAAATTTCCCAGCTAAAATTCTAACAAAAAACACATCTGAATTGTCTTAACAAGGTATGGTAGAAACCAAGGTTTTTGTTACATATATTTGAAAATATATCCAAACTAAGTCACCTTTGCAAAGTGTGGTCCCTACTCTCATCTAAGAAGGCTCTTATTTTGGGACATATATAGCAATGAACACATTGAGCGCAGGCACACCCTAGAGGTAGTCCATTCTTCCCTTGAGGTGCAGGGACACACCAGAAGCCCACACTCTCTCAATGGCACTGAAGTCCTCCAGTGCATATCTGCACGTTTTAAAAGGACTATACCTGTGTAATATAGGATGATACAGAAGTCACAATGTTTCAGTGGTACAATAAACAAACACAGAAAAAATCATATCAGTGTAACAATCTCACAAATAGTTAACATTACAAATAACCAAGCAAAATATATTTTAGACTTTGGATAATGCTGACAGTGACAAAAGCCAAGAAAGTGGACTTTTTACTTTAAAATACCAATTTAATAGATGAGATTGGTAAATCGTGAATGGGAGTTGAAAAAATGAATTGAAAACTAAGAGAATGTCCCATAACAACCAGTTGTCAAAACAGAACTTCAATGTAATTGTGTAATAAAAGTTGAGTATACTTTCTTTTCACATGCAAAAACTTTAGCAATATTTTTGCCAAGTGACAAAAATTTCTTCTGTAAAACTGTATGGTTAAGTTTTCAATGTGAACATAGCTTCACCTCATTTACCAAAAATAAAGTTGGCCATACATGGATTGAAATTCGATCAGTTCGACCAGCCAAATTTTGATCCATGTATAGGCACCATGGTTATACCCAACCATTGATTGACTTGTGAACAACCAGCCTGTTGGGTTTTTACTCACTGATTAGTGCAACTGGCTGTAGCCAGCAACACTAACCACTGCGTTCTGCCAGCAGATTTCCCACCAGCAGGACACAATTGCACAGCGAGAAGGATTCCCCCATCAATAGTGACTGTGTTGATGGGGGAATCGAGCAATTTTCTTTGGGTGGAAGGAAAGAAAATTGTATAATCTATGGCCTACCTAAAGCTGGACATAAAGGACTTAAATTCTGTCCAGTTGGTGCTGAATCAGGTAAAATTTGAGCCATGGGTGATCCTGCATGCAACACCTGGCTCGACAGTTAAAAAAAAAAATTACTGAGCAATTGATTTTCTCTCACTCCCCCTGTGGGAGAAAATCGAACTGTGTATGCCTGGCTTTAATAAAGGTTTCATTTTGCTAACTGAAGAGTTTCTTCTCCCAGTAAATCTACCCCAGCATCTGAGAGAGGTGTATGACCCTTCAATGGGCCCAATATGTTATGATGCATAAGGGAGGCTTCACAATTAGCCGCTGTGCTTTGGCTAAAGTCCAGTGTACCCGCGGTTTTGGTGCATTTTCTGGAAGCACACCAAAAGTCCTGCATGCTGCACCCAAGCTGCGGCCAAAGCACAGTGGGGCAGTGTAAAGCTGCCCTAAGTCCTTCTTTCAAATATGTAAAAGCAAAAAAGCAGGTAAGTAAATTTGTACTTCCTATGAATGTTGTGCTTTGCCTGAATTTCTTCTTTAAATTGTATCTAAAGCCAAAAAGCCAATTTTTAGATTTAGTAAAAAAAATAGAACTTCTGCCAGTTTCTTATTGTACTCCCCTCTGGACAGATTTATTTTCCCTAATTGTCCTGATGGCCACTGGGACTGAAAAGAAGGAAAAAAACAAAATGTTGGGTTGCCAGCCAAACAGGAATAGAAGGGAAATCTTTCAATGGGGAGACTTGTTGCAGTTTAAAAATGGGAAATTGTATCAAATACTTACTCCAATCCATGACAGCATACTATAATATGCATGCTGCCATGCTGGTGCAAGGAAAAGAAAAAATTGTATCAAATACTTACTCCAATCCATGACAGCATACTTACCGTAATTTTTCTTTCTGGTGCCAATCCATGGCAGCATACATGTGAGCGTATGCTGTCATGTTGGCACCAGGAAAATGGATTCCCCTCACTTTGGAGAGGCTTCCTTTTTCTCTCTTCCTGTTGTGTCTATAGGACAAGAAGTAAAGGAAAATCTACTCAATGAGAAATATGGCAAACAAAAGAAAAACTTGTGCTTTTGACCATTCCCTATTCTATTCCAAATAAAAAAAATCTGGCTTTACATAAACTTTAACTTTCCCCTTTCAAATTAAACTGAAAAATAACAACTGAATTCTGATTGGCTGTTAGATGGAACACACCTCTTTTTTACCTATCAGTTTATACAGAATAGTCCCACATATGTGGTGTCAAGGAATTCAAATACTTGCAAAAATAGGTAAATAAATAAACATAATTTCCGCACATACCAGCCTTCTAATTTCCCGCTCGCATTCCCGCTTAATTTTAGAGATCTCCTCTTGATGTAAGTGGAAAACACTCCGGATTTCCGCAGCCTTCATCTTATCAGCCTGCATCACTACAGTCAAGGCTTCCTCCACTTGTTTTTTGGCTCCTTTTAGCTCGAAGATCTCCTGCTGCATTTTTATTTTCTCCGACTCAAAGCTTTTCTTGGCCTCCTCCCTGGCCTCATTGTACAGAACAGTTTTGACTTTTTCTGGGGCAGCATCTCGGAGCGCATTGACCACCGCTTGCAGCCTCTGATTTTCACTGTCTTTGATTTTTATCACCCGGATGAGTTCGGATTCATGCTGCCTCAAGAGGGCTTCCCGTACAGCTTGCAGCTCCTTCATTTTCTCCTCGTGCAACTTGGCCTTTAGCTCAGACACAATAACAATGTTTTTGTGCTGCTCGTGCTCTCGAATCTGTCGGATCTCCTGATTTTTCTCTCTTTCAAGTTTGCTCACCTAGGAGTGCAAAATTAATAAAAGTAGAAAATGGAACATTATCCTTTAATTATTTCTCATTTAATTGCAAACAAAGATAACATGGAAATTTAAAGAGATTCTTTGAGAATGTTTTTGGTAATTTTTCATTTTAATTTTTAATTTGTAGTCAGGGGGTGATGAGCTCCAAAGAATAGCAACAACAACCCTGAAAACCAGGGAGATGAAACTACACGGGTTACAGCTGGCTCACAAAGGACAACCCCACCTCCATCTCTTCTAACAGAGCAGGTACCATCTTAGCAGGGGGCTTTCTAGGAGCTAGTACTAGGCTTTCTTACCAGAAAACCCAGAATGCTTTACAAACTGAACATCATTGATGTAACCTGTATTAAACTACATCTAAAGCCAAAATGTTCATTTTCTACACAGTAAGGAATCATAGAATACGCTGTGAGATTTTTTCGCTATCTATAACCCATTGAGGAGACATCTCTCCTGTACATTACATCCAACAGTGGGGTAAATCACCTCTTAGATGATTGTCACTGGAGTGTTACCACTAGAAGATTTTCCTACATTACCTCTTCTGGTTACAACTCAAAATGTTGGACTTTCCCTCACTTCCTGTCTTGGTGACCATAGTCAGGAGAGATGTGAATCTCCCTACCAGGTACACAGACAGCTATAAAAACTTGACAGAGGTTCTAATCTTTTCCACCCATAGAAAAAAAAATCTAGAAAACAAGTTTTTTCTGTAGATATACTTAGGACGTAGGCTTGCACCCCCTCGTCACCACCTCCCCTGGTCTCAGCATTCAGCAGACTCTGGCAGCTGACTTCAGCCATCCTCTGGTCCTTATCCAGACCCTACACTTTTTGCTTCCCAGCTTCTCCCCGGCAGCAGCAAAAGTTGTAAGGGGGTGTGATGTAAGGGAGGGTGGGGAACTCTTGACTTCTGATGGTGGGGGAGGGCTCTTGATATCTGATGTAAAGGAGGGGGGGAGGGGTGTGCTCTGGACATCTAGACTTACAGATATTTCCGGCCTTTTGAGGGCAACCTAAATGCTAATGCAGCCCATGATGAAATTGAGTTTGACACCACTGCTATAGAGAAAAAGAATTAAACCTTCCCTACACATGGGTTACTGGTCAAACTGAAAAGAATACTGCAGTGATCCATCAACCTTCACTAAGTGCAACTCATGGTGGATGACCTACTCCTCTCTAGCTCCCTCGTCTCCTCCTCCCATGCTCATCTCCAGGACTTCTCCAGAGCTTCCCCCATCCTCTGGAATTCTCTACCCCAATTTATCAGACTATCGCCTACTGTGCAGACTTTTAGGCGTTCTCTGAAAATCTCTTCAGGGAAACCTATCCTGCTCTCAGCCAATAATGGAATCTTCTACTCCTCCTACCAGTTCATCCCCTACAGTTACTACCTTTTGTACCACTAGCCCCTCCCTCTTAAATTGTAAGCTCCAAGGAGCATGGTCCTCCAAACCCTCTTGTATTGAACTGTATTGTTGCTGTATTGTCTCCCTTTATATTGTAAAGTGCTGAGCAAACTGTTGGCGCTATACAAATCCTGTATAATAATAACAATTTAACAATTTCCAGCTTGCAGCCCATTCCAAGAAGATTTGACAGTTGGTTATTAGATGACCATTAGTGAACAAGTTCGACCGGCTTTTCCCTTCCAGCATGTAGAATAGCTTTTGATGGGCAAATATCTTACAAAAAAAGTGTCAGGAAAAACAAAGTGGAGAAAAAACATGTATTATTTATTGATTTAGGTTAAAGCAGGACTCTCAATCGACATTGACTATTTTAATCCTTATGCTGAGAGCATTAGCACATAGATAGGAAAGTATATCATATTTACTTGTTTTAAAACTTTCTTTTTACATTTCTTTAGTTAATTCCTGGTTTCCAGGCCTAGGCAAATGATGTCATACATCCCAGGAGTCTTCGGGAGGGGAGGAGGGGTTTTCTCAGCTAAGCACACCTTCCTGTCTGCATGCCTGAGCTAAATGCTACATAAATCATCTTCCCTTACTCAAGATGGCTACAGCAAGAAATGCTAGTAGATGTTCTTCAAAGTGATTTCTCAGCAAAATAAAGCATGGAGACATGGATGGATGGGGGAGTTGGCTTTGAATATTAAAAATAAATTAAATAGTGTTTTTGGTTTGTGGTGCTCAGGTGCGGTGTAGTTCTTTAAGGACTGCTACCCATTTTGTGCTTTTAAGGCCTGCAGACTTGCTTCTGTTACCAATAAATATAGCTTACAGGGATGAATGTAGAATCTTTCCAGCCATGACTTAAGGGTAAGCATCCGGCATGCATGACTAAGCTCTGTGGATGATGTTGCAGTATGGCAGCGTTCTCGGAGAGTCTGCTTCAGACGGGATGTCTCATTATATATCCTGACTCTGCAGAAAAATATGCAGCTATGGATTTCACCGTAAAGGTTATGTAAGGTTTACTTAATAGTGACTGAGCTTCGCATGATGCTAACACAGGGAAAAAACGTATCACAGTTACATTAACAAAGCCAGGATCAGCAATAGAGATACCTGAAAAAAATCTAGATGAATAAGATCTTATTTACAACATAATGTGCTTGGAAATGTGATTCTAACATAAACTGCATTAATGATCCTTGAATGAGACCACCCAGGGCAACACAGCACAAAGGCAATATACGGGACTTTATGCAATTGTACGGCAAAGCAAAGCCATAGTAAGCTATACCCTACTTTGTCTGCTAGACAATCTTTGAAAATGTATCTATTCAGAAAAGCCTATCTCACCTCTACCTAACAGCTGAACCCTTACTTTCCCATCTCCTCAAAGTTACTACCTTTTGTGTCACTTACCCTTCCTTTTAGATTGTAAGCTCTCAGGAGCAGCCCACATGAAAGAAAAATATATTTGAAATATATTTTTAAAATATTCTTCCCAAATATATTGACATATATTGACAATTTTGGGCATATTCAATATATTTCAAAATATATTTCAATAAATATATATATATATATATATATATATAAAAAATATATTTTTATATATATATATATATATATATATATATATATATATATATATATATATACATACACTGTATGTTGGTGGAATGCATTTTTATTACAAAATATATGAAAAATATTTTTAAAAATACATTTTCAAATATACTGTATGTCTTTAAAAATACATTTAATCTACCTTTTTACAAATATATGTAAAAAGATATGTTAAAATTACTTTTTTATATGTAAAAAAAAAATCTGAAGAATGTATTTAAAAAAATATATTTTTAAAAATATTTTTAATATATCTTTTCATATATAAAAATGCATTTCAACATGCAGTTTATATATATACATATATATATACATATATATACAGACATGCAGCTGGTGCCAAACCAAAGATTGAATCATTTTGTTCATGCCCTGGATTCAGGTCTGTATGATTTTGCATATTCATGCCCTGTCCTGCAAATTATTTGAACTGTGCTTGTACTTAGCTTGTTATCCCTGCTTGTCAATCATTACTCAGTCTGGGTAGAAGTGGGAAAGAGGCAGTGAATACAAATCCTTAACCAGTAAGAGATGTTTTTATGAACCAGATGGCCTAGGTTCAGCAGGTGTTCACAACGGTAGGGCCTCCACAGAGAAATCTATATATATTTGAGGCACAAAAAAAGCGTCAAAATGTTTTGAGATCCCAAAAAGTACTACATTGGTTCAGCCAGTGGAAAATAAATAAAAAAGACACCTAACACATTTCAACATGCTCATGCTGCCCTGCTGTTTGACACATGCATTCCTTCACTGTCTATTCGGTTCTGAAAGATATACTCAGGAACCTAGCCTTAAATCCCAAAAATATTATGAGAATTTCTAAAGCCCAAAGAAGGGGGGGGATTGTTTTCGCCCCAAAACATGTTGGATTATTATGCCTTTTGATATGCTTTAGGCACTTGCTGGACCAATAAAATCATTTTTGGACAAAATGTGTGTTTGATGCTCCACTATACAAAGATTGCTTTGTCTGGGACATGGACTTCTGCTATAAGATCTGTTTATCTGTTCCTGATCTGCTAGCTCTTCTTGTATTTGCTCTGACCATCTGTCTAAGACCTTACACCATTTTAACATCTGTGATGCCTGTTAGTCATCTGTCAGTCCTGGCGTCTCAGTGGATCCACTAATCTCTGTGCCACACAGTGTGTGAATGAGAACATCTGTTGCTACTGTGGCAGGCACCATGGGTATCATAGCCCATGTATACTACAGTTGTACATTCCAATTCTACAAGCACCAACACCATAAGGAAATTAATTTCTATAGGTGAATGTATATCTTGTGTGCAAGGTAAGCTTGGTAATACTTGACATAGGGGGGAGATTTACTAAAACCTGCGCACTCAGAATCTGGTGCAGCTGTGCATAGTAACCAATCAATTTCTAACTTCAGCTTGTTCAGTTAACCTTTGACAATAAAACCTGGAAGCTGATTGGTTACTATGTATATGTGCACCAGATTCTGTGTGCACTTATTTTAGTAAATCCCCCCAACAGTATTCTACCATATGTGTAAACATACTCACCTTACTCTTTTCCTGCTGGAGTTCTATCTGGATATCAGTAAGTTTGGCTCTCAGGTCTTCATTGGCAGCTTGCAAGGAAGCAAATGAGTCTGTTCTCTCTGCCTTGGCTCTGCTGCTGGTGCCCTTTTTTGACATTGTGAGGTGGAGTGGCAAGAAGGGCACAGGCCCAATCAGAGAGAGAGCCCCTCTGTGTCACAGAGCCAAGCCTCCCTGGTCCTCTTTCTACATTTTTCTTCTTTTCTGGAGAAAGACAAAGAAAAAAAGAGTAGACATTATTATGCAGTGCCAACATATTCTGTAGTGACATATAACTTAGCAATGTTTTTAATGAAAATATAACTATAGAAGGGATAAGGTAATATAAGAAAAGGTTGGAAAGCTGCACATATAGGATCTTGTAGTTCTGCTTATGGAAACAAGATCTCCAAATACAGTCTATATATTTATACATATATATCCATCATGTATACGAGCTAGAAGCCTGGGTGGTCACCCACAAGGAAATCATACAATCCAAAACAGGTATAGAGCCACTCATGGTTCTTGCAGCAAAGATAAACCAAAGCAACAGCATTTCATTGTCAACATTTCGATGGAGCTCAGTCCTGTGAAAGATGGACCAAGTTCCATTGAAATGTCAACCATAAAATGCTGTTGCTTTCATACATCTCCACTGCGAAACCCGTGAGTGCCTCTATATCTGTTTTGGATTTGTCTGTATATTTATGTGTATAAAGATATATGCAGTTCTCCAATAGGGATGAGAAGACTGTTATTAGGAATCAACAGCAGGGATGGCCAAATATACATAGCTACACTCGGGAGACCAGACTATATATGCTTTAAATAAGATTTATTTACAGTGACACCAAAATCCATCCAAACACCAGGAAGATAGAATATACAGCAAACATAAAGATATAAGTGAAGCAAAATCCAAGTGGCAAAATGCCTAACAACCTAACAGAAAGCCCAACTAGCAAACTAACTGTGACAGGAGTGACTTTTGGGGGTGGGGGGACCCCTGTGTCAGCTCCCCATGTTCCCTTCATTATGTTTAACCCACCCTGTGCCTGTTAAGGGGTACAGGGTGTGAACAGGGGCGGACTGACCATTTGGAAACTCGGGCACTGCCTGAGGGCCCGGGGTCAGTAGGGGCCCCATGAGATGCCCCATGTACCTTTTTCATAGGCTTTTTTGAGTTTGGGCAAGGACACAAGGGCCCCATGATCTCCTATTGCCTTAGGGCCCCATGAATTGTCAGTCCGCCCCTGGGTGTGAATGTCCTAGTATTGTGTATTGGTGTGAGGATTGTTCATTGTTCTCTGCCATGTGCTGTATCCCATTGTTCTGTGTCTTGGTTTGGTGGGGGGTGTTTCCTGTAGCCCTCCCCCTGATGGGGCGGGTTGCTGATGTGTTTCCTGTTAATGGTTGTATTTCCCCACCCTGTGTATATATATCTTGTGTTTATGTAAAAATAAAGGAGTTGACTTCCTGTCTTAAGAAGAGTCTGGTGCTGTCTATTTCCTGCATGATCAGCGGGTGGTGTCCGGGGATTTGTGTTCGGACAGGGAAGCTGGAGTATAATTGAAATACCCAAGTGTGGTCTGGGTCCGGTTCCATTACACTAACTATATACAATATATACAAAATGGGGAAAACAGAAAAGCAGGGTAAAACTAGAGGTGCAGGGAGCAGATGGGAAGGGGAAACCAAAACTGGGATCAGTAACAAGGGGGAGTAGGAACAACGCAGCAGGGTACAGGGTATAGGTATGAGGCAAAAGCATAATCAGGAGTAGGAACAGGATAAATGACAAGCAGTATCTGGCAGCAATGCAAAACACTAGAGCAAGAGGGAAATGTAGAGGGGTAACTAAATACTTTCCCAGCAGCCAGCATAAGGTGGAAACTGAGATACCTGCTGGTGGACTCCGGAACAACAACCTTCCCCTCTGGGAAGCACAGCACCACCCGGAGATGATTCAGGTCCTGACAAGTGTTTTGACAAAGCAGAAACTCTTTTGCTCACTGAACTGGCTAAGAGGTATCTACTTGATGAAAACAATCCATGCTTGTTTTTTTACTTTATTCAGAGGGTGTGTTTTTTGAGCGGTGTATTTAGGGTAGTTTGGTTTATTTAATTTTTCACTGTCTATTTATTTACATGAAACAAAAATAATAATGAGCTAACAAGTGGCCATTTTGTAGTATAGCAAACCCAAAATAGTTAAAGAGCTTCACTAACCCTCAAGAGCCATTTAAAGCCTATTACTCCATTAGCAGTCCTTCACCTAAATGCATAACACCTTCCGCACCTCCTGTTTAAACAATTGCAGAAAAAAATTTGTTTTTTTAAAATTGTATACCGTAAATCACGTTTTCTTTATTCTTACATAGGTGAGGACGATGTACAGTATCTGGCCACCACTGCCCCCTGTGATGTCTATGTTACACATCCCAGAAGACAGCATACTTTGAGGCTCTGCCAGGACAATGGTAACTGCAGAGAACAGTAGCATGACTACACATGCGTTGGATCTTGTTTCAGGATGTCGGCACCTGGAGCAAGGCAGAGCACAGGAAGCCTTGCCTGTAAGATGGACTTGCAAGTATGTATTTTTTTTTGTAATTTACACACAGGAACAGGTCTTAGGGATTTTAAATGTCAGGTGCGGTGAAGTTCCTTTTTAATATAGCCATCCAACTGACTATTATGCATTTTGACAACATGGCATTTCACAGAAATCTATTGACTTATGCCAATATTTCAAGAAATAAGAACTCTCAATTTTGCTCATTCCTAATGATAAAAAAGTACTAGTGGCTCTTTCACATAACGGTACTTTTTTAAATGTCTAGAAATGTCTCAAGCGTTAGCGTCTGAAGGACGAACTGTATTTGCTGACCACAGCAGTTCACCAGTTAATTAGAATTTCACTTTAATTTTCCTATGCTTCACCAGAAAACATAGAGAAGGAATCTTCTTAGCAATCTAAGCAATTTTTACTTCATAGACTCTTAAGTATAAGCCCCCTGGGACTTTTCTTTCCATAGAAAGCCAAAGCTTCAGAAAAGCAGTTACATTAAACAATCAAGCTAGAAAATACATTTTCCATTGAGAGAAAAATTACATGATCATGTAATTCTAAAAATAAGGCCATACAAGGTGAATATGGCCCACCTTAAAAAAAAAGCTAAATTACCCAAAATGAAAAAAAATAACAATTTGTCATGTCCTAGTCATGTACAGCCAGACATTGTAATATTACATAAATACAAAGGAGCTAATCTATAAAAAAAATAAAAGTAAGAATAATGATTCAGAGAAAACTAGGTCGCTGTCATTGGAGCTTGTAAAAGGTCAAACTGTTCCTCTCTCTACCAGAGAAAATCTTATTCCAGTCTTTTCAGTTTGTATTAATTCTGTTAAAGCAGAGCTCCACCCAAAAGGGGAAGTTCCACTTTAATGCTTTGTCCCCCGCTCCCCATTAAGGATTGGCACCTTTGGGGAGCGGGTACCTGAATTTGACAGGTACCCGCTCCCACTTCCGCTGCTATTGCATAGGTGATCGGAAGCGAAAGTTGTCCTCCCTCCCTCCCTGTAGTCTTCTGGGACATGTGACAGGTCCCAGAAGGCTACGGGACTATTCACAAAGCGCAAGGCTTCTCGCGCATGCGCAGTGGGCACCCGGCTGTGAAGCCACAAGCAGAAGATGCCAGAGCCAGGGAGAGAAGACGGCTGGTGAAACCAGCCGTGGTGAGGACACTGCTGGACCGAGGGACAGGTAAGTGGCTGTATTTTAAAAGTCAGCAGCTACAGTTTTTGTAGCTGCTGACTTTTATTTTTTTTTCTTAGGTGGAACTCCGCTTTAAGGACATACAATATAGCATAAATTGAAACCTCAATGGGCTTTTACTGTCTGTGTATGTGCAAAAAAAACCCCAAAAACCAACATTTGTCACAGAGAGCTAATACTTAATCACACAAAGTGATTTGTATGTGTGAACGTTCTGTGAATGAAAACATGCCTGTTGATCCTGCCGGAACTGATTCCTTCCTTTTACAGGGTGACAACACTCACAGTGCTATTAAAATGGCAATCAGCGTAGTCAACCCCCTACTGAAAACCCACATAGCGAAGTGACATGCAGTTACTGTAACTAAAGCAACAAGAGCAATTTAGCTAACTTCACCTCTAGAGGGGAAAACATGCAGAATGTACTTCAGCTATTGGTTTATTGAATGTCAGAATGAATCCTTATATCTACTTTAAGTACTAGGGGTTTAGATAAGGGTCAGATATTATGGGTTAAGGGTTAGGTTTTGGGGATAAGGATTAAGGTTAAGTAATAGGATTATATCAGGCTTATTTTTATTGATACAGTTAGGGGTTCAGTTGACAATAGGTCGAGCGATTAGGCTAAGTTAAAGTTGATGTAAACTCATACTGAATGATAATTTGTTTTCTAATTCACTGTATGTCATAAACAGTTACCGATTTTTAACAAAAAAAATAATTTTACCCTATTGCCTATCAACATGCATGCACTCTAGTGATGGTTGCAAAGCATTTTTCAGAATGGGTTTATTGATGGTGACAACAGTGGACCATGAAAATTTCCGGCCGATGGTCAGCCAGGAGAAGGTGACCGTCTGAACATACACTACATGGAAAAAAGTTTGTTGACCCCTGACAATCACAATTACTATATGGGCAAAAGTATGTGAACAACCCTGCAAATTAAAGCGTTCAAGTGTTTCCAGTGAAGGGTACTGTTACTGCTGTAGCATACAAAGATATTTTAGAAGATTGTGTGCTTCCAAACTTGTGGCAAAGGTACGGAGAAGGAACATTTCTTTTGCAGCATGACTGCGTCTGTGTACAAAGCCAGGTCATGTAGCCAGGTAATACCTCATCTGGAATATGCAGTTCAGTTTTGGGCACCAATTCACAAAAAGAATATTGGGGAAATGGGGAAAGTACAGAGAAGGGCAACCAAACTGATAAGAGGCATGGAGGAGATCAGCTATGAGGAAAGATTAAAGGAATTCAATCTATTCTTTCTTGAGAAGAGGAGATTAAGGGGAGATATGATCAACATGTATAAGTTATTCACCTTTAGGTCATCACA